CTTCATTGGTTTCTATATCGGCTGCTATCCTATTTCTACGATCCTGGCATGTTTATGTTCCGTTGGAGTTCGAATTTCGTGGAAAAAGTTGTGTTGAATGAGAGCATGTCGGCGAAAATGGCACCTCGTGTTTCCTACCTTGTATATTATTATTGTAGATAGAGTGAATTTAAACAAATTACTGCAAATTATCACGAAACTTCGTTGGAGCAATAAGGACAACAACAATTAACTGCAGAGTAAGGTTTATTGATCTTTATTTAGTATTTCCTAGAAATTTTAGGATGATATTTTTACCCCATACAAACACTGTAATTTTACTGGAACCGTACTGTGGTACTATCACAGAGCCTGGGTTACCTGTGGTGGCCAACAGAATTTGCGAGCTCCAAGACAGCCGCACTCGTAGCCGCGCCCGACTGAAAACCATTGCCAATATCTCGCGATGGTTACCGAGGCAAAGGGAGCACGGCCTGCTGTGACTGTACTGCAACTCTGCCGTCGAAACGGCAGCAGGCCGTGCTGCGGAGAACTTTCCTGACCCGCGTTCAATGAAACTCTTTGCGAACTAAAAACTTTGCATATATTATTCAGGGTTATATAATGGCTAATACGTCATCGCACGGGATAATGAATATTACATGACTGTGAATAGTATAGGGGACCAAACAAAAACTGGGTGGGCCGGACGCTCTAAGTCAGAATGGCTCACAGGATTGGTTTAGAAAACAATAGATAGCCCTAACCCAAACAAAACTAACAATGAACCCCAACTCTGAAACAATAGAGCTTCGGGCCAACAAGAACCTATCAAATTAGAGGTTCTAAAGAGGTTCTGGCCAACACGGGTGGTGTCGCGAGGAAGTAGTACAGAGGGAAGAAAGAGTGCGTCTGCCCGAGAGGCCAATTCAATTATCATCCCTAAGAAATTACTTGGCGTAACCTGTGCAATTATCCTGCAGCGTTTCTAGGTAGACCTATTCGGCTAACTCAATGTTGTACCCAATTCAAACCCTTTGGGAATAAAATGTTTTGTTTCAGAAATTTCCATATCATTTAAATGTGAATGCCACATTATAATGCAAATATAATACACAAAGAATCTTATCCCCGGGAGATTTGAATTGGGTACAACACTGAGTTAGCCGAATAGGTCTATTGGTAAAAAAGAGACAAGCAAAAGTTTATGCACTTTCTCTTAATCGTGTCCTATTCACACGCACGCATACATTATTATTTCTCGCGCTTTAGCCTCCTCCACAGGCAATTCCTTTTGCAACGGTTACACTGATCATGAATAGTCGGAGAACGACTAAAGGAGACTTCCTGTTCTCTCTCCATTCTCCCACCCGTTTTGTTAAACAGGACAGTGATGCCTGCGGCGGCGGCTAAGTGCGCACGATGTGTTATAAAGGCTGACTTGGGGGAGATGGTAAGGGAGAAGAGAGGAAAGTAACTGAAAAACGAATTTTTGGATCTTTCCGGCTTCTTCAAACTCATCTATGATACCAGTTTCTAGCTTTCACGGCCTCTTTGGATTTCTGCAATAGGCCATTTGCACGATCCTAACATTTGATAACTTGTTTCCGCCACTACGACATCCCGCTAAAACTCGTAGTACAATGAATACGGTTACCAAGTTTTCCCGCCAAAATGATGCTGATTCACGCGCGTGCACAAAATCTCGTTCTCTTCCTCGTCTTAGAATCTAAAGCTCTCTAGTGATGGGATTGGAAGAGGTTGAATGAGAGACGACTGGGGACGAGTCACGTTTGAACGTGTTCTATGGGCCTTTGGTGGCGACAACCGCTGACCAAAGAACCCGAGGACTCCGGGTACGAAATTGACTCATAAGATATAGCGTTAGGAGGGCTCCAACAGGAACACATATTTTGGAAGAAATTCAAAAACGATATAGCAATTATTCTAATTAGAGCAGACGAGAGAGAACCGGGCGCGGCGAAGGGGACATGCTGTCTTTTATTTTGTATGCATGATTACAAAACCTTTGTAAAACAGACTGCATATTAATGATACTACCACTTGCTTTCCTCAACTACGTTGGTGGGTAGTTTGGCCACCAAAGTCGTAGTAATAGAGAGGAGAAGTTCTTACGCCACGTTGCCATGGTAGCAAATTTTTTGGATGACAATAAACCGAAATGCCACAAAATTTTTTTTTCAAAAAATGTCACTTAAAAGTCTATTCGCACCACTTCAAACTTCACCGATCTTATTCAATTTCATTTAATTTTGCATATCTTGGCGAAATTTTCTTTGGGACGGTAGCTATCGTTATCTAAGTTTCAAAAAAGAAAGCGGCAATTTTTGTGTTGTGTTCACCTACTCCATAACGCGGGCTCGTGAAATTAGGAAGTTTCATGTCGTAGTGGTGCAACGACGGCAAAGAAATGTACAAAATAGCGTGATGCACGCGCAAGTTGTTGTTTGTTAATATAAACATATTATTTCTTGCCGTTCTCCTTGCCGTCGCCGTCGTCGTTGGTTTTGTTGTCATCCAGAAGTAGTGCTACCATGGTAACGTGACGTCACACTTCTCCTCTCTATTGTCACGTTAGGTAGTATACCCTATCAACTTAGTTTATAAAGCTAAATCTGTTTCACTTCTCCAACATTATACCTTTTCCCTTTTCAGTGCCATCAACACACAATCAGCTAGGAGAAAGCCAGCTTCAAGCCAGATTCCAAATAGCTACTTCTATTCAAAAATAAATTTTCCTCAAACTCTGAACTGTGCGATAAATAATCTGGCCCAGTAAAAGTGAGAAAACAGAAAACGTACTTGACACAAATCATGACAAATGGATAACGTCAGCCTTTTGTAGTAAAAATACCTGTATGTTTTGAAAGACTAAACTAGTCGACTCGTTTTGAGAGAACAAAAACATTCGACCGCAGTTACACGTATAAGCAAAGTTTATCATTTGTCCCCCCCTGGAATTCCACATGACATTGCTTTTTTCCCGTCAATCCTAAAGTGCGTATAAAGATGGTGGGTATCGTGAATAAGGCCTATCTGCTCACCATGGCCAAGCCAGGCCCACTGGGATGGCTCTACTAATCACATTAAAAGGGAAAAGGCATAACAGGCAAATATTTAGCATCTTACACGGACGTTCTTGGGCTTTCGTCACGCCCTCCACGTGACGAATGGAAGAGAACGAAGCAGAACGTCTGTGTGGGAAATTAGCAAATACTTCCTTTCTTCACAAACTAACCCTTCATTCAACTATACAAAATTCCATACTGTCCATGCATCATGATATAAAACAAGACACCAGTTCATCTGGATATCAACACTAGCAAGAGCTGATGTGTGCAGAGAATTCAACCATTTCTTCCATTCTGTTTTCACAAACTTGGGAGTCCTTTTATGTAAAATCATAGCTGATTCAATAAAGGTTGCCTTGGGCATTGGGAATTGGGCTTTGAGCATATGGTGTGACCAGCAAACAATAGCTTCCCAGTGCCAATTCCCAATGAGCAAACCAACCTTTGTTGAATCAGCTATATCTATGTGAATAATCTTTTATGAAACAGAGAAACAATCAATAATTATAATAATGACCATAATAACCTCAATTGCACAATCATTCAAACGAAAGAATATTTTGAATGATAGCCCAAGTATTGACAATTTTTTAATCCCACACTCTATTTGCGCCCCCCTCCGAATAAGTTTGCATGAGTTATTGTTTTCAAATGCTACTGGGAAAATGCAGTCCTCCCAGGAGCGCCAGTCTATGCAAAATTTGTGGGCAAACAGGGATGTTACTAAAACGGGGAATGGGAAAATGAAGAATGGAAACAAGACCTCTCTTGAAACCTAGCCCTATCAGTAACTTAATTTCCAATTCTTTATTTTGTTCTCATTTTTCATTCTACCGTTCCCCTTGCTCGTTCCCCGTTTTCGTAACATCCAGCAAACAGCGTGTATTAAACAGTTATTCCTCAAGCCCGAATTGGCTCTGAGTCAATAGCCCATGAGGGCGACAGGAATAATAATTATTCCTTCTGCCCTCATGGTCTCTTTAGCAAAATCCAACTAGTTGGTAAAAAATATCGAGACAAAACAACTTTAGCTAGCTAAACGCGATTCAGCCGGCATTATTTTGGTTTTCAAAGCCGGCGCTTTTGGCTACTAGTGGGCTAAAACATATAGCCTAACAGAACGCAGCATTGATAATAGAACACTAGGTGAATTTTACTAATATGGGCAATTCAGAAATAGAGATTTTCATGTCTATTGAAGTTCAGTGAATAAAATAGTAATGAGTTCTCATTTCTCTTTTATCTATTTTAATTTATAAATTTATTAATAAATTCTAACTTAAAATATTTTCTATTATTTTTTCTATTATAATCTTAGACTCCAACCTTGTTTGTTCTGCAACACATGTATAATACCCTTGTTGGATCCCAGCAATAGGGAGCTTTAGCATCGAAGACAGTGATGGCAGAGAAAATTTTTTTTTTTTTTTTGGAAATGTTGAAAGAGAAAAATAATATTCGTCGTCCTGATTTTTTGGTCATCCAGAACCCGTCACATAAGGAAATTTCACGCCATGACCTTGAAGGGAAGGTAAAGAAATGCACCAGAAAGTACACGTACAAAATTGTCACTTTAGTTATTAAACCTACAGCTGTTTTAACGTTCTCAATACTGTCTTTTTTGCATAAGCTCCCCAAAAGGGTAAGGGGTGGAGTAGGCTTTTTAAAAAAGCCATGTATCTTAGGATAAATAATAATTGTTATTATCCAAAAATGGTCATAAAAATATGACTAAAAATATAACTTACATCTGATGTAAACTTTTGATATAAAAAGGACAAGCAAGCATATCCAAGGCAATAGTACCTAAAAATTCCTAGCTCTTAATCCTTCGAGGGCGTGTGTTAGTGGTAACCGTTGTAATTTGCATAAATACAACTAACATTGGTAGGGTGGATAGAATGATCCTGTGTTGCACTCAGGAAGGACTCAAAATGGTCGGCGACACAGTGGGCAAGTTTCACTAAAAGGCAATAAAAAGAATAAATTATCACAGTGATTCATAGCTTGACAAAAATTCCCCTATATACATCCTGTTACTATTTTTAAAATAAGCTAAGTTATTATCAATGCCACAAGACTTGATTCTAACTGAATAACTTTACTTCAGCAGAGGCAAGAGCGGACACAGCTTCCTTACGAGAGGTTACAATAAATATTGAAAGACCCCTTTGTCACCAAACTCAAACATGCAACAAAACTTACAAATTCAATTTTGTAAGATGCTAAAAAAAAATTAGCCCTTTTTGAAGGTATTGCCAAAGAGGACAGACAGACAGACAGTTTAAAAATCACTTGAGAGTCAAAGTGTTAATAATCATTTATAACCAGGCAACAGTTATTCAAAAAATGGATGATGCCATCCATTGGGATAAAACCAAGGTGCATACCACTTCAGAGAAACAAATTTCAAGGATTTTTCAAGGACAAATTACAGTTTTCAAGGACTAAGATTTATTAAAAAATCGGCTTTCTTTAACCCCCTCTTGAACACCTTATTGGCTAAAACAAGTCATGGAGCCATTTCTTCGGCCATGGTTGATCACATTATTTTACACTACTTTCCAACAACACTTTGCAAATTGATTGGGTGTGACTTGCAATTGTATCTGAGGTACATATTGACATTTAAAAAAAGAAACAGAGGTAAGATATTGCTCATGCACAAAAATATTTTTAGAAAAGGTAGCGAATTTCAAGGACTCTTCAAGACCTAATAAAGAAATAAAGTACTTTTCAAGGATCTCAACCGAATTCAAGGACTTTTTAAGATAACTACTAAAATTCAAGACCTTTTAAAGATTGTACGAACCATGTACAACCCTATCCAATGCATTGGTTTCCTTAAAACTTATCAACTAGATAGTGATTTTTCCCTACACTGGATAACAATATCCAGCATTTGAACAACCAGGGCCAAAAGTGCTCTTCATGCAAAACGTGAACCTTAGTAACAATGCTGAGTATCAATTAACACCAACTGAAAATATGACTTACATGTTGTTAACTATCATATTTAAATAGCACTCCTCGTGAAACTTGTGCCCACAAGGAACTTCGTAGCACCCAATAAAGGCATCTACATACTGAAAAGAAAATACCTGTCAGTAAATCCGGCTGAATGTTTTCATTCATACCTATCAAAAAGGTGGTGCTGCAGTCCCTCATTTGTTCTGATTGTCGTTTTGATCCTTTGCTTAACATATGTTGGTCATAAATGATAATATTGGACAGGTTTAAGTGTGATTTTACAGGTTCTCTTGAATCATTCAAACTTGTTTCTATCAATAGCAAATAATGTTAAATAATTTAATAATTTAATGCAGCAGCATACACTGAATATGCTCTTAACAGCCTAAATAATTGTTAGCAGCTCTTTCAAATTGACTGTCAGCAAGCACGTTGTGTGCTAGTGAACAAAGCAAATTAATGTGTGAGGGAAGAGACTGTCTCGAGTTCGCTGTGTTGAGTGCTGGCAAGCTGTGACTACAAACTAAAATAAGTCTGCTAGCAGTCTACAAATATTAATGGCACCATCTGAAATACAACCATGCAACGATACATAATAATAATTTAATGATAACTGATAATGCAGTAATAAATGTTTCTGTTAATATGATATGTGTTCAATGGATTTAAGTTAGATTGTACTGCAAAACTGTAGTCTCTTGCAATAACCAATTCAAGAACCATTTTCCTACGCAAAACTCATTTTGACCTACTCCAAATGGAAAATAGGTTTTGCAAAAGATAATATATTAGAATTCACCTCTTGGCAGATACAGCATATATCAGGATGACATGGGTGATTTTCCCGCTGCTGTGCATCAATAATTTGATTACAATTGACACAGTTGTGTACGGGCTCCTTATGAGCAGTCTAAAAAAGAAAAAGATAAACCTACAATGTCTAGTTATTAACAGCAGGTCCAAAGTACAGATAACTTTTCCACAGGACAGAGTACAGGTCACCATGATACAGATAAATTAACAGTATTAAAAGTGTCTCCTAGCCCTAATCTCTTAACAAAATGCTCTATTAGATCAAGGGGAATCCATGTGGTTTGGTAATTTATCAATGGGGCAGTGACCTGTACTCTTGACCTGTGGAAAGTGACCTGGCCCCAGTTGTTCAAACGGTGGATATCGCTATCCGATGGATAAATCTCTATCCAATGGGTAACGCAATTGGTTTCCCAAATACTTATCTGCTGGACACTCGGACACGACTCGTAACACTCGGACACGGAACTCTTTGCAGATTTCGCTATAAAGAACGGCTATAGGCCAGCGCACATTTTCCTACAGAGGGGCCTACACATGGAATAACTTGCATAATGAACTTAGGCAAAGTGCCTCATTGGCATCTTTCAAGCGCGCCCTGAAAGACACACTATTGAGGCAGACATTTCCTTCATAAGCTCTAGAATTTAGTAGAATACCATCATAAATTGTGATTTCGAGTTTTTATTGTCATTTTTGCTTTTATAAATTGTGAATAGTTTGTAAATAGTTCCTGAAAAACCTCACGAGGATGTTACTATTAAAGTTATCATTTATCCACTGGATAGCGGTATCCAGCGTTTGAACAACCGGGGCCTGTACCTTAGACTTGGCCAGATAATCTTAATGATAGAAAAAAAATTGCTCAGTTTAGAAAGGTATTCTGCACTTAAGGGCGCTTGTAACTACTAAGAAATTTCATGCAACTTTGAATTAAACTGCTGTCCAAACTGATGAACCAATAAGAATGAAAAGTAATTTTTCATAAAAGAAGGAATATTAAGGGCAGTAAAATAAAGAGAAGCCAGCTCTATAGATATATAATTCTAAACTGGCTTGGAATCTTCCAGTTGCCTAGCAACAAAACTTCAGCACATACTCCCAAGCTTTAAAGAGGTACACGTACACCAAGGAATGATCAGATTAGCCAGACAAAAAGTAAATCGCGCGCTCTGATTGGTCAATTAGCCACTACCATTTGCCCGTGGGTGCACGCCAAGAAACTGAGCTAGCGCGGTAAAATTTAGGCAAATTCAACAAATCTCCTCTCCTGACGGTAAAATACACCAATGCAATGCACAGATGAAAAGTGGAAGTTGAAGAAAATACTAAGCTGTCATTTTGAAGGAAAAAAGACAAAAGATAAAGTGACAAATTTGCCCTTGATGAATATTAATCACTGTTTTCCTCGCGTCTAGAATCGGCTGAAGGAAAATCTAGTGAGTGAAGATTTAAGGTACATTTTGTGTGTTTTTTATAGAAGAGACGGTCTGTTTGAAATGTAAATTTATCAATTAGCATTGTGTTATTGACTTTTTGGTCAAGCTGATGCTAAATTTAAGCAAATATTTTAGAAAACACGCTAAAATTCGAGACAGCTTTGTTGTGAAGTTTTCATCGCATCGATTAAAAATTTTAGATGAGTTTAAACGGGCACATTACGCTGGAATAAGCGAATTTCATTTGAGTACAGAAACATTTGGGTTTTCAAATAATTTTTCAAAAAATAACTTGTGTGTGTATTATTTTGTTCCTCAGTGTTCATTCATAACAGTCATTCAGAGAACAGTTGAAAAACAACAGCTTCAGCGCCGGCTGTGTGTCGGCGAATTTCAGTTGCAACTTTGACTTTCATAGCTGGATTTCCCCAGACAGATTTCGATACAAAGTTAGTTAATTTCTTTTTAAAATTAGTGTTACCTGTTATTCTAAAGGAATTACAGTCAAATTTTCTCATTTCTACTTTACGTTTATTTCAAAAATTGTCACATAAATAAGCCTGATAATTATTTCATTTATTTAGTTTTAGCTTATTTTTTAGAGTCTTTTTAGTTGGTGTTTATAGTTCCAGCTATAGTTTTCCCTCAAAGTTTTTACCCTAATATTAAGAGCAAGTAGACAGATGCCATTCAGAATAACAACGAAAAACGTTTTGAAATTTACCTGAAGACGGAGAACGGTTGATTCAGTGAAAGAAAAACTCAAAGGGGCGGGCAGATGGCAGCATACATGAACTCGGACCGACGACTCAACCGAAGGCAAATGTAAAATAATGTTTTTCTCTTTTGATTATGTTATAAAAGAAATGGTAAACATTGCAGCTGTGCAACCCTGGAGTTATGGATGCACTTGGGAGGTTTGCTAAGCACTCAAGAAGCTAGAGTCGCTCAAGGCGACTCTTCCGCTTATTTTGTGCTTAGCAACCTCCCGCGTGCATCCATAACTCCATGTTTGCACGCTGCACATTTACCATTTCTTAATTCAGGTGATAAAAGGTACAAATGCGCGTGATCAGATTCTGTTCTGTGCATTCCAATCATTCTTAGTGGAAGTCCAAACAAAGTGCCGCGCATGCCTAATACTGTAGAATTCTGAAAGAAACGGCCCCTGTTACTTTTGAATTTAGCTGGCAAAAGGGGCCGCTACTTAAGGGTAGCTGTTACTTTCAGGTAGTTGCTACTTTCGGATGGTTAAAAAACGTTAGTAATTCACAGTCGTTTAAGAAATGAAACATGAATTTAAAAGTAATTCCATTTATGCATATTACCATCCACAAGAACAAAGTGACAAAAATAACATATACAACTGTACATGTAAAAGGCCCTAAATGTTGGCTTTTTAGGCAAAAGTCAGTTATGGGTGCATCAAATTGCAGTGTAACTAATAATATTACTATCATTTGACTCTTGGGAAATTCAGCTTTTAAATCATGCATAATTTGAAGAAGGATTCAGACAAGTTTCGAAATAGAATCACAAAATGACTCTTCAAATTGTTTAGTTGAGACAGTCCAGCATTACAGTACCAGAGTTCAAAGATTTTCATACGTGCTTATTAAATTGATCCATTATTATGACTGGTACAGGCTGATAGTTGACTTTCACTAAAAAACAGCAGAAAACAGACATTTTTTCTCATTCCTTTTGCGACATTTTATGTTAAACACTCTTTAAAATCGCTTTTTACATAGGGCTGCTACTTTTGGCGGCGCCATTACTTTCAGGATTCAGTAGCAAGGTAAAAAGTAGACGTTATTTTTAATAGTGTTATTTTCAGAGGGACCATTACTTCCGGAATTCTACAGTAGCAACCCAGAGTTAGGATTGTGGGCATTATCCCTGTGCAGAAGTAGGTCTCATTTTCGAATCCCTAAGCATTCTCTTAAATCTTCCCGTCATATCAAATGGTATGATGTGCAAAAGGCTATAGATCGTTTTCACTGTCACGCAACAAAAAAATAAATTGAAAACCGTCCAGTGAAAGAAGCCAAGAAAATGATATGTTATAAAAGACTAATTTTTAAACAATTTGTGCAAGTCTCAGGTCTTTTTGGCCCACAGTTTCTGAGTTATTTGCTGAAACGTTTCACGCATCTTTGTAGAGCTTTGTATGGAGACGCCATATTGGTGCACAGTTTTGGTGCACCAATATGGCCGCCGAAAATCAACAAAAACATCAGGAGTTCACTTGTTCTATAAAAGCTCCTTCTTTTCACTCGAGAACTAGCCTACGTGCGCATAAACATATCTTCTAATACTTGAAATGGTTATACTACTGAAAATCAAGAGGAGAGACTTTTTTTCAACGAGACAGCATTCCTATTTTGGTGTCACGCACTCTGAAAACTCGGAAGTTCAAATTGCTGTATTTTCGAAATGAAACATGCTATGGGACTGAAAACTTGTACAAAGATTAACTTTTTGATTATCTTCAACCTAGTGTTAATAAGAATTCGTAAACCTCGCTATTTTGACTTTTCGCTATTGATGACGTCACTGTGAAAACCATCTATTCTGTTAATTTAAAAAGTTAATATTATCTCTACAAAAGTAACTACATGTTAACATAGCATGATGTACACAAAAATGCTCCTTCTTTATGATTTGGTGAATAATGAAGAAGAACTTAATACTTCTAACTTGCAAATCAATGTGATACAAAACTTCTCAGGTAAGACCTTTATTTTGTTCAGGACCTACCACTCATGTTATATTATTGCAATCCTCAACACTTTAGTGATGCCAAAAATAGATATTGGCAAAAATGTGGCAGCATATTTTGCAGTCAGGAATGAGCATGGTGTTTTAAATTTTGGTAGCAGGTTATTTGCTGCCATGTGAAATCTCATCTCATACTTTCTTCCTGTTTCCCCAGTTGCATCCACGAACTTATTGTGACCACAGACCTTATTCCCCGTACCCGCCATCTTTGCACCTGCTTAAGGACTCATGGGATAAAAGCAATGTCAAATGGTTTCTCAGGACACAAACCAAGTTAAAAAATTTGCCAATGCAAGAAATTGTGGTCGAGGTTGTCGATTCTAGAAAACAAAAATGTAGAACTTTCCCTCTTCAAGACAATAATGGCAAATTGTGGGTAATGTGCTCCTTGTTATTTTTTTGAAAAAAGTAGCAACCATAGATGTCCTAACAGCAAACAATAATGATGGAAATCATGTCGAAACTCGAACTGCAAATTTCGCATGACTATCAAATTTTTGTCTCGTTTTGACAGAATATATAAACACAACAAAAAATAATTATTACTCGAATTGGCAAATTTTAACGCTTGTTTGCCCCCCCCCTTGAAACATCATGTGACATTGCTTTTATCTATTGCTCACAAGAAAGAGCTCAAGCTTTCCAGTAACCCTATCTCTGCATTCTAAAAATCAACTGCAAATAACTATTTCAAATAGCTTAGGGCACAAGAACAATCTTTAATAAGTCAAACTGGAAAGGTGCAAAATTAATGTTGTGTTCAAACAAATATACTAGTTACTTACACGTACTTCTTGAGTACAACTGCTTATCTCATGCAACTCTTCGTCTTCTTCTCCACATGCTCTTATTTTTCTCACTAACTTCCCTTCCCTTTTGATACTTGTTCCTAGTTGTTTAAGATCTTGCTCCATCAAAACTTGCTCATGAAGGGCCCAAGCGCGTAGGGCTTTATCTTGTGAGTGTTTTAACAAAAACGAAATGGTCACGCCACCTTCAAAGTCTTCTTCTGTTCCTCTCCCCCCATCAAATTCATCAGATGAATAAGAATACTGGGCCTGTTGGAGTCTAGCAACTGGGGATAACCAGTCAGTTGTAACTGGGAATTGCCTGCCAAATGTAAGAACTGGAACAGCATCATCCTGCTGTGGTAGAGAAGGGAGAGAGGCACGAGTTGAATATTGATGCTCTCGGGGTCTAGCACCTAAGGAGTTCCAGTCCTGCTGTGACTGAGAATTGGGAGAGGCAGAGGTTGAATAATGGACCTGTCGGGGTCTAGCACCTACATAGGGGAGGTCCTGGTCCCACTGTGGTTGAGAATGAAGAGAGACCCTGCTTGGCAAGTCATCACCTGTAGCTTGCAAGTTGCTGTTAAGATCACTCACTGATGACGCCTCACGACTTGGCAACTCTCTTGTGAGCACTTGTGTATTATTAAAAACATCAACAGCATCAAATCCTTAAAAAACAAGGCTAAGGTAAGTGCTTCTTTTTTTGCATATAAATGGCAATTTATGGGATATAAATTATAAGATATAATTAATTTTTAATTTATATCTTTTTTGTTGTAAACTAAGTACTCAAGTGCTGAGGAGCTTGGTTTAATGTCAAATCAGAAAGAAAACTTTTAGAGAAGAAGATCTGGTTCTGAATTGATATTACTTGATCAAAATGTAAATTTGGTGGAGAACAACAATCAAAATCTGAGATGTCTTTTACGCAGACTTAAATGCTTCAACTTGCAAAGTAATTAAAAGAACTTTGTCTTGGGTTTGCATAACTGTCTCGAATTCTCACTACCCCTCTTATGTTTTTATCAAGCTATCCAAACATGGAAAATGTTGTCTATGACTTGATTATTAGGATCATTGTCCATATATCTATCATAAGGATTGCATGCATCTTGTTATCATCATTGAAACCTGGAGATACACAGCTTCAGTTGCCTACATTTCTAAGACGTGGTTAACAAAAACTCACCATCTGCAGAACTCCATACAAACATGTCATCATCAAACCCTGCTTCCTCCTCCAACACTATTGTTGAACAATCCCCATTAAAAGCTGCATTTCCCCATGCCAGAGGGTCATTAAAGACACCTCCCACAGCTCCATGAACGGGAAAGCCAACATGAGGTCTTACTGCACCAGCCCAGGAACCTTCATCCACGCTTTGTCTTTCACACTGTCCACTAGACCACACGGAAAAAATACTTTCTAGGCCTTCATCTAGATGACTATAAGATGCATCCTGACAATCATCACTGAAGGAGGGATAAGCTCTTTCTGATTCACATGCAACATCAGTAACAGGATCAATGCTTGATGATGAGATGCACTTTGAAGGAATGTCATTCAGTATTGACAGTTTTGAAAGAGCACTCTGGGAAAGCTCCTCATCTTGAGTGTGCCTTAGGAGGAAATTGGGTGCTATACCTTCACCAGTGTCTGGTGCAATCCAAGAATTGGCTGAACAGTCGGAGCATCTGGAACTTGCAAAACTTTCCAAGGATGCATCTGCAGATAAGGTTTGTGGCTGAGCCCAACTGTCATCAAAGTCAACCTGACTTTGTGTGGAATAAGAACTACTGCTCTCTGCATAAGGCAACTCAAGAGACACTTCTTTGTCCTCGTCTTCCCTGGTCGATGTACATCTTTCACACAAACACGCGCCATGATCGTGATCCTTGCTGTAAGAAGAAAAAAAATTTAGTCACATTATTAATAGCGGAGTTCTTGCACGTGTGTGAAGTGCACGCAGCAGAGCACAATGGGTAAAAAAATTTGGTAAACTATCCATCCAAGAAAATTTGGTTTATGACGTAGCGTACGAACACCAACCATCTGTACACCCACTACATGCAAGCCCATGTCAAGTGTCACATTAGATCTTGCACAAATACTGACACTAGCCTGTCAGTTATGTAAGCCATCTGTATGAGGATCATTCTCGGAGACCCAGGGGCAGATAGTGGGGGCGAGGGAAAGTCTAGATGGGCGGAAAAATAAGGCACAAAGAAAAGTAAAGAAAAGCGAGAAGCGCCCCTGGGGACAATGTCTTACCAGACCAGTTCCAAATGGCCACCGCCATTCTGGCTTCTGATTGTGTGTTTTTCTGGCACCAATCAGAAGCCAGAGGATAATTTGGTGGTAGGAAGTATGACTTGTTTAGTACCCATTTACATTGGAATGGCATATACAGTGAAATCTCTATTAAGCAGACACCTTCGGGACCTTCCCAAGTGTCCACTTGTAAAAATTGCGAAATGTTTGTTAACGATGAACATTCAACGGTTACTCTGTACGGTGATAAAGTTCCAAAGAACAATTTGACTGTGAATAGGTGTGCTGTTCTTTGTGCAAAATTTTTAGGTCAACTTTGATGGCGGATGACAATCATACGTCTGGATACCAGTCTAATCTACAGTTTATTGACAACTTAATGTATTGATTTAGCCTTATTAATCGACTACAATACTTATTTCAAGGGCGTAATCCAATACTAGTATTGTCAATTACGTCTGGTGTCTGCTTAATAGAGGTTTTTAACAATACAAGTTAGCCAAGTACAATTTATTTTAGTGTCTGCATCTGCTTAATAGAGGTGTCTGCTGAATAGGGGTTCATTGTAAAGGGAAATAATTATAAGATGTTAATTTCAGGACCCGGCTTAGTGTCCACCTAACAGAGGGTGTCTGCTTAATTGGGAGTCCGCTTAATAGAGGTCTCACTGTATTTCATCAACATTACAGCCATGGAGACCACTACCTGTTGTTTGGATTTATTTAAATTGTTAACTTGCACATCAAGGTGAATTGTAATATATTTGAAAAGATAAGCAATATTTTGAAGTTCAGGTTACTTTGTGCATAACAACTAAAGAGCCTTTTTCTTTACTCTGAAACTATTTTTAATAAAAATGTACTTTTCCGGTTGAGATTGGGGAGTCTTTGCCACATTTGTGGAAATTCTGGAGGGGTGGGAGCTCATCTTCAGTTCCTTTTGAAGAAGGAAAATCCAGTGGTATGTATGGGTGTGGAAGGTAGTCCTGGGAGTGAAACCCCCAATGGTGATTTTGCTAAACTAATCCATAAGAAATGGACCCATCCAAAAAAATTAACTTGATAGAAATTCTTGAACGTATTTAAACTTTTTGTTTTGTCATTTAGGTCTCATTAGAAAAAGAAAGGAGGTTCAGGATTTGCAAAAAAACAAAACAGAAATGTCAAGCTGTAAAGAAACCATTTCAAAATGGAAGCTTCACACCAAAATTTGCACAACTCATACGCTATGCTGCACTCAATTGCCCTTGTAGTGTGCAATTTATTAATTAGCATTATCTTAAACCAGCATATTATATTTAACAATTATTCACTGAAGGCAAAGTTATTATTGTTGAATAATCCCAAGACAAAGTTGAGGGGATTATTCAACAATTTTAACTGAGCCTGAGGTGAATAATTGTTTTAGTATATACACACAAAGTGATCTCAACAGAATCAGAAAGGTAACCATTAAAAAAAACAATTACTAAGTTTGATTGACAAGTGAATTCATGCGTGAACATGTAGCCGTAAAAGTATATGCGCAAAGTTAGATCTTTATGGCATTTTCAAACAGTCATGGCAAATAATAGTTTTAATTTTTTGTGAGCTTTAGCATTAATGATTAAAAAGAAAACATTGAAATGTTAAATATCTACCCTTTCTGAGAGTCCCTTATAAAGGGCTATGTAGGTATGTGCCATGCCAAAGGTAATACCATACGGTATGGTTTTTTTTAGCTGTTTTGGTCTGAAATAGGGTATCAATTTCAGCTATTTTGGTCTGAAATAGGGTATGGTTTATGCACTCTAGTCTTAAATTGGGTATGTTTTTTAGAAGAGCTACTTCTTCATCATTTGGCAATAAGACCATTTCCCTTTTAATGTTTACGCCAACTACTGTGTACGTGCCGCAACAGCTTGTCACGCGCTCCGGTCACGCGCAGGGCTCCAGGGCGTCAGGTCTGAAATAGGGTACCAAATTTTCGATCAGGTATGACAGAGTGTAGGGAAAATCACAGATTTTGGACTGAAACAGGGTAAGGGTTTCAAGAAGTGTGCTCCACACTCCCTCCCAATTTTTCTGGAAGTGCCCCCCCTGGAATTTTTTGGACACAAAAGGCAGGTCATTGTCCCAGGCGTTCCTTGCGGAGACAGTGGAAACTGGGACAAAGAATCGTTGCATGATCGAAGCCACGCAAGCAATTCTATCGCTTGAAAGGGTTGATTACTTTGAAGCAAGCAAACACTACTGAGTGGTCGAAAGAAATAAGAATCTTAATTAGCAAAATTGCGATGGTCGGGTATGAAAAACTTTCACTGTATGTGATGAGCATGCGATTTATTTTTGGAGACTGAAGTGACGTGCCATGTAAATCACTTTTTCGATCTCTGGCAATGATGTAATTTCTCTGGAATCAAGGCCCTTGAATTTTCGTGTATTTATACACGCGTAAAGGCTGCTACCGTAGAGGTATTTTTGGTTGTTGGCAACAATTTGCATACTAAATCAATTCAGAAACAAATAACAATTATCGACGTCGATAAAGTAGGAAGTAAAAAACCTTTAGCAAGTAAATCATGTTTCTTGTAGAATTAATCACCTCCTCAATTCTCGATCTAATCTCCAAGCAGGCGAGACCTGAATGCCGCTGTAAGCGTGTTCATTAACTTCTATTTCTAGACAAAATTAGTCTTGTGAGGAAATCCTGAGTTCACAAAATAGTGACAAAACTGCCTTGTTTTTCTCTGTAGTGGTAAAAACATTGCTTTTTGAAAGCATAATTATGAAAGTCAACTACAGTAAAGCACTTCACAATAAATCACCCTGTTTCAACCATGACGTCCTTTCTTACCTTTAAAATCATCAACACTGGGATATTCTTGTCTTTTCAAAAAAGGTTTTAACTCTGAAACTTGGCAAAACACCCAGTTCACGACAGCGATTTTGTTTTGCTTTATATTCACCACCTAGCGCCGTGAATATAACATCATAGTCCAAGATAGTGAACCAATCAGATTGCTTGGATCATCACGATTACTGCGTGTGTATATACTATAAACATAAGTTATGAGAATTAATTTATTAGTAAATTAGTCACTGAAAGAAGCATGATGACTTACATGACGTTTTGTGTGACAGCGACATTGGCACATTCTCTGTGGGCTTTGTGTGAACATGGTAATATCTGGCAACCACTGAATGCATCCTGCAGATAATGAAAAAAAAAAAACAAAACAAAACAAAAAAACAATCCATCAGATCAGCATTGCAATTGTTTACCACCACAATTTTGAGACACATACACTGTAAAGCAGAGTTACTATCTATCTGTAACTCTACTAATAGCCAATACAAGCAAAAATCACTCATGTTTTGAACTGAAAAGCTTATACAATAACATTTTTATTCAAAACAACCAGAAATTCATCCTCAATGGGGCGACAAAATTTATAGCAAGTGATCTCTGTTGATTTAAACTCACCTCTGAGAAAACTTGATCATAATCTGAATCAGGGCGACATTTGTGATTTCCCTCAAGGCGTTTGTCTAAACACACATTACACACTTCACAATGGAATAATTTGTTCTGATGATTCCTGGATGACAAATAAAAATAATGCTGATACAATAAAACATAACACTTTTAATTATTTTCACATGCCATTATAAGATTAGTAGGTAGAAACAATATTATTTTGCAAAATGACACTGATTCTCCTTGTCTGACTCTCCTTTTATGCTGTTACTAAATTCCTTTAGACAACTAGAAAAAGTCACTGGGAAAAAACAGCAGAAAGGCATCAAACTTTCATAAACAAGGATATATCTTATCTAAATAATATTATAATTTTACCACAAAAATATTTGCCTTGACTTACCTGCATATTCCACATTTTTCACAATGGTACGGATTCTTGTACACACTGGTAAAATGTTTACAGATAGCACAGAAATAAGCAGACATCTTCCCTCCACACTTACGACAATTGGCACTGTCTTCACCAATCTGTAACAATAACAACAACAATCATAAAACATTTACCTTGTAAACCAAGTTTAGTTCAAAATTCAAAATGCAACTTGATTCCAAAAAAAGTAATGATGCCAGGTCTCCCAGTAACTTTACAGGAGTGACAAATGGAACTTACACAAACACAAAGAGAAGAGCACTCTGATGATGTCAACTTTCTAAAGCAGTCCCTCCCTTGCCTTCCCTATCCAGCCCCTAAACCAATTTGCACCAGCCCTTCAACTCACAGAACTCAAATTTCTTCTCAGGTTTATGTTAATGCAAATGCTTTTCTCGAAGTAGATATCCTTGGTCTGGCTAGTTCACGGGTTCTTAAAACAAACAATAATCCAAGTACAACATAAAAGGAACAGAATTTCAACAAGAAGGAGTGAACCAGTGGCCTATTCACAAGCATGGTCAAGGATCTGATCTTGGAAAAACAAACAAACAAACAAAAAAACAAATCCTGCTAGTGGTCAAAATGACACTCATAACGAGGACATCTAAAATGCTAACCACTTAGCTATACTGAATACTCTGAACACCCTTTCAGTTCCTTCAAGCTTGTTGCTAACAGTGAGAAAATAAATTAAAATAAACTATTCATATATTTACTTTCTCAAGCCCTAGGATTTCAAATCCCATGGATAACAATTTTTCAGTTCCATGCACAGAGATCACGGGAAACTATCGGTAACAAGTTTTTGGTTCTGTGAAAATTCATGGGAATCCACTTTCATTTCTTTTAATGTACAGAAACAGTTTGCTGGAAACACGTTGTTAAACATACTTTAAAATTAAAGAACATCAGTGTGTACTATTATTTACAAAAATCTTCAATGCCTATTATTAAAATGTCAGAAGAAGGTCAATTTAAGCGTTAAATGTGTGTGCACTTAAGTGTCAAAAACTCAAGACTCCTCTTTGATCCAACTAAAGGAGTAAGTATATTCACTTGAAACGTTCTCTACAGATCTTGTCCTTTCATTAAGATATTTGGGTCTCATAATCAGTTTCACAGTGAAATTGTCACTAAAAGACTACATTCTAATAATGCTGTTTTTAAAATTTTGGAGTCATATGTTTTTTTTCTTGTTACTGGAAGCCATAACAATCCCTGCAGTTAACTGTAAAACATCTTTCATGCGCGAGTCATCAGTAACACGCAATGCACTTTGGGAACGATTTAAGATGGTGGACGATAGAAAAACAGTAACGTTTTATTCAAAATTTCATTTAGACAGAAGCTCAGTTATAAAGAATTGCTGTACTAGTTGAGAATCCGAGTGGAAAAATACTATATTTGTGTATTTTGATCTCTCAGTCTGAATATATCAGGACATGTCACTGGGAAACTATTTTTTGGTTCCACTATTTTAAGATCACAGTATAACGACATGGTACCCGAAACGACATCCTCGGAGACCCAGGGGCAGTCAGTCGGGTCGGGAGAAAAGACACAACGAAAGTTTTCAAGTAAGGGCGGAAGAGCCCCTGGGTACAGACTTTCACCAGACCATTTCCAAAAATTCAAGCGGATGCCGGCTCCTGATTGGGCACAAAAAATGCTTTGTATTATTGTGCCCAATTGGAGAGCACATCTCCTGAGTTCTTTTCGTGTGTTCGTACACAACAGCTATTGCATGGCTTGTCTGGGTCATGCACCAAAGAAATGCATGCAGTCAGGAAACTTTCAGTTTGATACAAAATTGCCATCTGATTTCAAAATACTGTCTACCCAAAAACTAAAGACGCTTTTCCAAAAATACAAGCTTCAGCTTACAACAGGTATTCACGCTTGTATCGGCCACGTCTTGCGTAAATACATTCCCAGAGTTTTTAAAAGATACCACGACGGAAATGTCGCATGGAAAAGTGAATTTATATTTTTGTTCAGTCTCTATTGTAATTATTTCAACTTGCTTACTTTGTCAAATGCAAGCAAACTCTTCTGGAGCTGAATTTCTATCAACCATATCCAAGTTCACTAAGAGAATGAATTTTGTCATTGTTTACGTCCTTCACAAAATATGAAACTAGGCATTTTCATGGGTAGTCATGCAGTTGATGGCAAAGAAATGTACAAAAAACCGTGATGCATGTGCAAAGTTGTTGTCTTGCCTTGTCAAGCTATTGCTTATTTGACTTTCTTGTCACCGCTGCATCATAAAACTTCCTATTATTTACGATACATTGTGATCCGACAAAAACAGAATATTCGGGCCAAATTCAATTGCTCCTGCTGATAGCATCCCAAACGTTTTTTCAACTCGTTGGTAGTTCCTTCGTTTCTGGTTAGGAAAGTAGAAAGTTAAAGTTTCCCTTGCACGCACAAGCTTGGTGAATGAACCGGGCAAGTGTGGCGAGACAACAGCCGTCCTGTACGAACTCACAAAAATAACTCAAAAGAAACCGTTCGCCGATTGGGCACAATAATAAAAAGCATTTTTTGTGCCCAATCAGGAGCCGGCATCGGCTTGAATTTTTGGAAATAGTTAGGTGAGAGTCAGTACCCAGGGGCTCTTTTGCCCGTACTTGAAAACTTGCGTCCCGCCTTTTCTCCCGGCCCGACTGACTGCCCCTGGATCCCCAAGGATGCCGAAACGATTGTTACCGTGAAATCCTAGGGCTTGCTTTCTGCTCTTTGTTTGTATTCATTTGTAGGTAAACATACGACTTTGAGTTCAATGAAATTTATTTGCTTGAGTGAGTATTAAAAAAATTCCATGAGCCCACAGGGCAAATGCAATTTGAGCTTTTTTGAAAAACACACAAGTGCAAATAAATTGTAAATTGAAGGAAAAAAGATATATGATTATCCCAGAATAAACATCAACATGAAAAAAATACCAGTCAAATAAGTGGAACCAATTTAAAATGGTTCCCCTGATTGAGCTAAGAAATTTCCTGAACTGCCAAATCATAATAGGCAATGGATGTTAAAGTTGCTGTAATCTGCAGCACCTGATTGGTTTTTGTATTATTTTATATTGTTTATTAGCATATCACAATGTTTCATTCTCTTAGACATTGAAATTCTATTACCTTGTTTTTGCACTGTGTTTATTAAAAACTGGATAGGTCTCAGCCAATCAGATTCAAGAATTTTTTCATGTACATTATTGAAACAAAACCGTGGCAAAAAGTCACCTTAAAACTCAATCTGAACTTTGAGACAAACAATCTCTAAAAAACTTTCCACAAAACAAAATGGAGCATGAAACAAACAAAAAGGATGTTTCTTGAAAAACTAAGGGTAAACAAAGAAAAACAAGCTACAGAGAATTTCATTCACACAAGCAAATATATTATAGATCACATACAACAATTGTGACCATTGTGTCAAAATAAAGAATACACTTTCAGTCACCACAAACACGTCATTTATGCATTCAATCCACTACTCTAGTGTGAAATGAAAATAAAACATTACTTCCTGTTCTTTTTCTCTTCTGATCATTGTATAAAACAAGTAGATTCCATGTTGCCGTGGGTCTGTTCAGTAATAGATCACAGAGGACGTCAAAATGTGGTAAAAACAACAGTGACACACTCGCCTGCGGCTCGTGTGCCACTTCTTTGTTTTTACGACATTTTGACGTCATCTGTGATCTATTACTGAACAGACGCACGGCAACATGGAATCTATTTGTTAAATAGATCACATACAAGAATTGTGACCATTGTGTCAAAATAATGAATACACTCTCAGTCACCACAAACACGTCATTTATGCATTCAATCCACTACTCTAGTGTGAAATGAAAATAAAACATTACCTCCTGTTCTTCCTGACAAAAAGAGCATTTCAGATGAGTGGCATGACAAGCTTTAACCTCTTCATTGTCACAAGCTTTTGAGATGTTGTGACAGCGATGGCATGGATAAAATTGTGTGCAACAAGGGAAGCGCACTCTGCAGTGCCGCTGATAATGTTCACATAGCCAATGTGATCGCCCAGTGATGGCTTCTGGTTGTTGCGGCCAGTTTTCAGCTTCCTGCAGCTCTCTTTCTTCTCTCTCTCGCCTTTCTCGAGTGCTTTGTTCTCTTATTAACTGTTCTTTCTTTTCTTCTTCCCTTCCAAACTGTCCATGTTCCTCTCTGTCCCAAAGAATGTCTTCCACAATGGCACAATTTTCTGGAACACTTCTTTCCCATGAGTTGTCCCAGGTCTCCACTCTATGATCACTGTTGCTTAACACAGTGGCTCTAGAGGGTTCAGCATCACCAAGATGTGGTTGAAAACTAGAGATACAAGGTAAGGATGCTCCAGCCAAAATGCCATTGCCATGAGATGTTGTAGTATTTCCCAGCTGATTTCCTACAAAAGAGAGACTGCTAATAAGTCAAAGATCTGAGCAACTTCAGAATACTTCAATCACTTAAGTATGCATAATTTGTAATGCGTTAGAGAAGTTTTAGACATGTTAATGAAATAATTCTTGCGGAGCGAGGGGCTGTTGGGCCGCAAGCGAAGCGAGTTTATAATTTTGTTGCGCGTACAGCGCACGGATCATACGAGGATCGCAAGCGGACTGCGATTTTGCTTTGGTCATAAATCTTTATTTCTATCGGTTTGGTATCTGCAGTTGCCTAGCAACAAGCCATAAACAAATCCTAAAGACAACATTCAGCATGATGTCATTATGCATTTTGGGTTTCCAGAAAACCCAGCAACTGATTTGGGCTTATTTTATTCATCTTCTATTTACTGTACATTGGCGAATTGCCTGGTGAATTGCAAAATATTTCTGAGGCAAATAACAGCGGGCTGCGAACACAACAGTGCCCGATTCGACAAGAGGCTAGAAATCCTTGCCATGGAAGATTTAACACTGAAAGAACGGCGATCTGAACTTCAGCGAGAGCAACGAAGAAGAAGATGAGTGCGTTCATCGAGCGGTTGTTTCAAGTGAATCTAACACGGAAATAATGCAAAATAGCTATGAAATACTCCTTTGAGCTATTTTTCCTCAAATGTATCTTTGAATTCATCATAAATACAGCTCCACAAGGTTCAAACAGTGTGAATGGCAGAGAAAAATACTCTAGCACTATTAATTTTACACCTCAATAATTGGTGTAGTGGTCGCATGGCCCAGGAAGTTGGGGCGGAGGTTCAAATCCTGGCATGGCTACTTCCACATTCTTTTTTTTTCTTTCATCGTATTTTTACCCTTCAGCTTTTCACTGTTTATTCTCACTGCTGACCCTGTTAGCTTCACAAGATTTTTGCGAAAATGTATTTCTAGTCAATTGACTGATTGACGGCTTCAGAGATCAAGGTATATCACAATAAGCACTTTTGCTATACAGTAAGATGCAAATAAGTGGCGGAGAATTCTGAAGTTTAGCTTTGCTCAATCACCTTATGTTACTGAACTTCATCAAACATATTTAATGGACCCAAAAACAAAGAAGAACAAACTGCAACTTAACAAAAAACAAAGAATAATATTGTTTTCTGATATTTACAGAACATTGATCCGTTGACCAACAGTTGTAATTTCCTATCCAACTCGTCTGCAAACTCAGAGCCAAAAACATTACACTGAAGTACATGGATAACAAAATGCCCATAATAATGAAGTAATCGAATGTAAGCCTAATGAATCAATCACCAAATAAATAATTAAACTAAGCACCAAATAAATCACCGATTGAATAAAATAAACTATAAACTAGCATTTTGTTTCAAAACACTAATCTATTTCAAGAAAGTGTAATTGACAACCGGTTAATTCGATTTCCGACCGACTGACTTTCGTTACTTTCAAGGGTCGCTCTTTAAAGGAAAACAAGTAAGCTTATAAGCATGAGCAAAAATGATTGTGGTTGGCTTACCTTGGCGAGCACCATAAAGTCGCTTGAGACGTTTTTCTTTATCTTCGAGGAAAAGTGCTCTCCCTAGATCCGCCAGATCAGCGGAGAAGGGCTCCTTTTCTGGCGAACTAGCTCCATCCAAGATAGTTTGGTGGCCTAAAAGGTCTCCCAGCTGATTGCCAAGATTATCTGGGTGTTTCACACTTTCTTCTTCCAAGTCACTAGAATGAGAATCCAATGACAATTATTCGCCAAGGCAAAGTTAATATTGTTGAATAATCCCGAGACAAAGTCGTGGGGATTATTCGACAATGTTAACTGAGCCTGAGGTGAATAATTTTTTTAGTATATACATATACAAAGTGATCTCAACAGAATCAGAAAGGAAACCATTAAAAAAAACCAATTAGTTTGATTGACAGGTGAATTCATGTGTGAACATGTAGCTTTAAAAGTGTATGCACAAAGTTAGATCTTTATAGTATTGTCAAACAGTCATAGCAAATAAGAGTTTTAATTTTTTTGTGCGCTTTAGCATCGATGATTAAAAAGAAAATGTCGAAATGTTAAATATCTACCCTTTCTGAGAAGAAACACAGAGCTTTATTTGCTTCTGTCAACTCATCATGAATGAGAAAGTTTTCTTGTTGCTTCTTGCAAACGCTGTCAACAGCGCCGGGCTATGATCGAGGTGAGTATTGTTTATCTGCAGTGTCCTTTGCCACGTTAATTGCTGGGATGTACAGTTTTCAAAAAGATTTGCTTTCCTTTTTTTCTCCATAAATTAACTTCTATTTCTAGACAAAATTGGTCTTGTGAGGAAATCCCGAGTTCACAAAATAGTGACAAAACTGCCTTGTTTTTCTCTGTAGTGGTAAAAACATTGCTTCAAGCATATGAAAGTCAACTACAGTAAATCACTTCATAATAAATCACCCTGTTTAAACCATGAAGTCCTTTCTAACGTTCAAAATCATCAACACTGGGATATTCTTGTATTTTCAAAAAAGGTTTTAACTCTGAAACTTGGCAAAACACCCAGTTCACGACAGTGATTTTGTTTTGCTTTATATTCACCACCTAGCATGGTGAATATAACATCATAGTCCAAGATAGTGAACCAATCAGATAATTTGCTTGAATCATCAAGATTACTGCATGTGTATATACTCTAAACATAAGTTATGAGAATTAATTTCAAAAGTAGGTTGAGTTTGATTGTCCGGGTGAACGTAGTCCTGAATAGGACTGTTGTTGATGACAGTGACTGACGTTTCGACAACCTGTGCTGTAGTCGTCTTCAGAGTCAAAGTGAGTTGTATCACATCAGTTGATGGTATGATACTCTGGTTATTGATCTGATTGGTCAGTTACGTTGCGATGTTCTTGGTCGTTTGTCAGTTAAGCCGTGATGTTATTGTCTATGAAGACTCGTAACCAGTTATTGGTGCGTTTCAATCCGTCTATTGTCACAGTTAAACAGTTGTCTATTGTTAGTCAAATTGTCAGTTCTCCAGTCATTCTCTCGTTGTTAGTTTTGCTTGATCTCATCAATAAGTCGTTTGTATGACACTGGTAACTCTTGGCTATGATTTGGTAGCGTTTGTTCTGAGTTATTAAACCAGCTTTCTAAAGTAAGATGTTGATAGTGGTCTGTAGAATACGTTATACATGTTGCAGAGTCCCAGTCAATTTGATGTTTTGTACGAGAGAATGACTGGAGATCTGACGATTTGACTAACAATAGACGACTGTTTAACGGTGACAATAGACAGATCGAAAAGCAGCAATTACTGATTACGAGTCTTCATAGCCAATAACATCACGGCTTAACTGACAGACGACCAATAACATCAAGACGTGATTGACCAATCAGATGAATAACCAGAGTATAATACCATCAACTGACGTGATACAACTCACTTTGACTCTGAAGATGACTACCGCACAGGTTATCGAAACGTTAGTCACTATCAACAACAACAGTCCTATTCAGGACTACGTTCACCCGGACGATCAAACTCAACCTACTTTTGAAATGACTCCTGGGTTCAAACCTTTCACAGAATTAATTTATTAGTAAATTAGTCATTGAAACAGTAACATGATAACTTACATGACGTTTTGTGTGACAGCGACATTGGCACATTCTCTGTGGGCTTTGTGTGAACATGGTAATTTCTGGCAACCACTGAATGCATCCTGCAGATAATGAAAAAAAAACAAAACAAAACAAAACAAAAAAACAATCCATCAGATCAGCATTGTAATTGTTTACCACCACAACTTTGAGACACATACACTGTAAAGCAGAGTTACCATCTGTCTTTAACTCTACTGATAGACATGAGCCCATACTCCTCAAAAAAAAAGTAGTTGACATTAAAAAAAATCACTGGAACCAGGTCCATAATCATCCTGTAATGTAAAGCATTTTGACTCAAGCTAATACAACAAAAATCACTCATTTTTTTTAATCCGAAAAGCTTATGCAGTAATATTTTTATTTAAAACAACCAGAAATTCATGGTCTAAAGGGCGACAAAATTTATAGCACATGATCTCTGTTGATTTAAACTCACCTCTGAGAAAAATTGATCATAATCTGAATCAGGGCAACATTTGTGATTTCCCTCAAGGCGTTTGTCTAAACACACATTACACACTTCACAATGGAATGATTTGTTCTGATGAATCCTGGATGACAAAAAAATAATGCTGATACGATAAAACATAACACTTTTAATTATTTTCAAACATCATTATAAGATTAGTAGGTAGAAACAACATTATTTTACAAAATGACACTGATTCTCCTTGTCTGACTCTCCTTTTATGCTGTTACTAAATTCCTTTAGACAACTAGAAAAAGTCACTGGGAAAAAACAGCAGAAAGGCATCAAACTGTCATAAACAAGGATATATCTTATCTAAATAATATAATCATAATTTTACCACAAAAATATTTGCCTTGACTTACCTGCATATTCCACATTTTTCACAATGGTACGGATTCTTGTACACACTGGTAAAATGTTTACAGATAGCACAGAAATAAGCAGACATCTTCCCTCCACACTTACGACAATTGGCACTGTCTTCACCAATCTGTAACAATAACAACAACAATCATAAAACATTTACCTTGTAAACCAAGTTTAGTTCAAAATTCAAAATGCAACTTGATTCCAAAAAAAGGAATGATGCCAGGTCTCCCAGTAACTTTACAGGAGT